TTTCGGAACACCATTGCTTCATTCGATCAGCTGCCAACGAGCACTGATTACGTTGTTTGCTCAGATGCTGAAGCCGAGCTATCGTCAGCAAATTCACATAAAATGCCAATATTCATAATTTCTTTGTGAGATTGTTCACATACAACAAGAACAAAAGCGACCCTAGGATGGATCCCTGAGGTACCCCCCGCTCAAGGGAGACAGACCCCGAATAGTGTTTAGTACAACTGCCTCTATATTTGTATTGCAACCTGGATAATATCGCAATTCACTAGATTCAGTGGCACAGTCAAAAATCATAACACCTGAAACATAATTCGTAGTTAACATAAAGCTAGTAAGTAAATAATTTCAGTTGCAAAGGGGACAGTTGCATCAGGAAAGTATTTTGAACCGAGTTCAATCATGCATATTTTTTCTTGTTTCTTTTTCTCATCTCATCGTATAATGCATGGAGCTGCTTTGCAGTTCGAGTTCCATTTTGGGAACCAGCGTTAAACTCTCTTGCTATCAATTCATCGTTTTTCATTTTCATATTAGTTTAATCTGTTTTGTTATTTTCAATAATATGTGAGTATCCCTGCATAATTTCGAACAAGAAGTTTTGTCGAAATCAGTTTTCGTGTTAGTTGAATCTGTTTTGTTATTTTCAATAATATATGAGTATCTCTGCGTAATTTCGAACAAGAAGTTTTGTCGAAATCAGTAAAGTTATGTGGACGTTGCACGTTTGTTTTCTTTATTTTCCATATCGAAAATATGACAAATGTTCAAATTCATCGTTTTTCATTTTCATATTAGTTGAATCTGTTTTGTTATTTTCAATAATATGTGAGTATCCCTGCATAATTTAGAACAAGAAGTTGTGTCGAAATCAGTAAAGTTACGTGGACGTTGCCCGTTTGTTTTCTTTATTTTCCATATCGAAAATATGACAAATGTTACAATTAATCGTTTTTCATTTTCATATTAGTTGAATCTGTTTTGTTATTTTCAATAATATGTGAGTATCTCTGCATAATTTCGAACAAGAAGTTTTGTCGAAATCAGTAAAGTTACGTGGACGTTGCACGTTTGTTTTTTTTTATTTTCCATATCGAAAATATGACAAATGTTCAAATTCATAGTTTTTCATTTTCATATTAGTTGAAACTGTTTTGTTATTTTCAATAATATGTGAGTATCCCTGCATAATCTCGAACAAGAAGTTTTGTCGAAATCAGTAAAGTTACGTGGACGTTGCACGTTTCTTTTCTTTATTTTCCATATCGAAAATATGACAAATGTTCAAATTCATCATTTTTCATTTTCATATTAGTTGAATCTGTTTTGTTAATTTCAATAATATGTGAGTAACTCTGCATAATTTCGAACAAGAAGTTTTGTTGAAATCAGTAAAGTTACGTGGACGTTGCACGTTTGATTTCTTTATTTTCCATATTGAAAATATGACAAATATTCAAATTCATCGTTTTTTATTTTCATATTAGTTGAATCTGTTTTGTTATTTTCAATAATATGTGAGTATCCCTGCATAATTTCGAACAAGAAGTTTTGTCGAAATCAGTAAAGTTACGTGGACGTTGCACGTTTGATTTCTTTATTTTCCATACCGAAAATATGACAAATATTCAAATTCATCGTTTTTTATTTTCATATTAGTTGAATCTGTTTTGTTATTTTCAATAATATGTGAGTAACTCTGCATAATTTCGAAGAAGAAGTTTTGTTGAAATCAGTAGTTACGTGGACGTTGCACGTTTGATTTCTTTATTTTCCAAACCGAAAATTTGACAAATATTCAAATTCATCGTTTTTTATTTTCATATTAGTTGAATCTGTTTTGTTATTTTCAATAATATGTGAGTATCCCTGCATAATTTCGAACAAGAAGTTTTGTCGAAATCAGTAAAGTTATGTGGACGTTGCAGGTTTGTTTTCTTGATTTTCCATATCGAAAATATGACAAATGTTCAAATTCATCGTTTTTCATTTTCATATTTGTTGAATCTGTTTTGTTATTTTCAATAATATGTGTGTCTCTCTGCATAATTTCGAAGAAGTTTTGTCGAAATCAGTAAAGTTACGTGGACGTTGCACGTTTGTTTTCTTTATTTTTCATATCGAAAATATGACAAATGTTCAAATTCATCGTTTTCATTTTCATATTAGTTGAATCTGTTTTATTTTCAATAATATGTGAGCATAATTTTGAACAATTTTTCTGCATAATTTCGAACAAGAAGTTTTGTCGAAATCAGTAAAGTTACGTGGACGTTGCACGTTTGTTTTCTTTATTTTCCATATCGAAAGTATGACAAATGTTCAAATTCATCGTTTTCCATTTTCATATTAGTTGAATCTGGTTTGTTATTTTCAATAATATGAGTATCTCTGCATAATTTCGAACAAGAAGTTTTGTCGAAATCAGTAAAGTTACGTGGACGTTGCACGTTTGTAATGGTCAATTGTGCTGGATTTCTTACAAAAGCACCCTACTTTAACAAACGAAATCTGTATATAAACACGCTAGCGCAACCTCCAACTTATACTAGAACTAAAATATTAGATAGTTATTCCTCATTTTCATTTGACATGTTGGAATAGCAGTGTACCCCACGCAATTATTTAGAATTAATATATAAGTGTAACAAAAAAAGGTGAAACCAAGGTCAACCACACTCATAAACAGGACCATAGGCGCAGCGGTTTGAGCGTTTGAGTATCATGTCTTTTAGAATAGAAAAAGAAATCGAACGCAAAACAGAATACTTAAAATTATTGGAGTTTACAGTTTATTTATTTTTAGGTCCTTAAAAAATTTCTGGTGAACGGGTTTAATTAAACTTTTATTACAGCTGCAAAAGGTGTTGTTTAGTTTTGTCAGAAATCGCAGGTGGTTTCGTATAGGCTTTTTTCAAACCAAGGGCCGTTTCTAAAGAAGCTGAGTTCTGTCTTGTGGTTCCTTTAATGCAAACTTCTTCAAACTCACCATTAAAATCACTTTTGTAGAAAAATGAACCAGGGCTATTTTTATCAACTTTAATAACTTGGATGTCATTCCAAATAATTTTTTTATCATTTGTAGTTTTTGTAAAGTTTTTTTCTCATTTTTGAGCTAAGGTCTTTAAAATCATAAAACTCTTTTATAGACATTTCTCTCACATTGTAAGGATTCCCTTCTTTTCTGGTACTTCTTATTATTACTGGCCATTGTGCTGGTACGTAGATAGGGCCCGTTCTAAGAACTTTCTTTTTTTGTCGTTCAATGGTGGAGTGCATCGCATCTCCTTCATTCTGGGTATGTCCCACAGTGAAAAATTGGTGTGTGATGGATTTTATATTCAATTTTGCTATTGCGTAGAGGTACATTGATACGATAAACTTGTTCTTATTCTGACCACCACCGTTGTCACTATAAAATATAACATCTTTATTAACACAAAACGATGAAAGATAATCCAATAAACAAGTAGCTATTTCATTGGCGCCACGGTTTGCGATGGCTTCATGCCAAAAAAAGCAATAGCCATTCTTTGAAACCATTTCAAAAATCGTAAAATTGAAGCAGTTTAGGCAGCATTTGTAATAAAAAGTGGAGATATCTCCACGTGGGGTGGGAGGAACTGCCTTCAAGTCGAAACAAGCTACAGTTACTTGAGGATCATTTTTCGCCCTAGCTATGTCTTGTGATTTTTTTTCTCTACTTCTGATTTTATATAATTATCATTTAGTGCAGCTTGCTCTTCAGGACTAAATTTTTATATGACTCGCAAATGGCGCACTGATCTTTTTTGAGTTGGAAAAAAGTTATATTAAACTTATGATTAAAAATGTGTTCATAGGTGCATTTTTTCGCTACGTGTCTCCCTTCACTTTCTTCCTGTAATTTATAATATCTATACATTTGCGCAAGTGTGAGGGAACCATCTGTGTACTCTTTCGTTGTTTGAGACCTAAGATAGTGTAATTCTATTCTTTGGAAAGAATTTATGTGTTCTCGTATTTAATCTTTTACTACACCAGTAACTATTTCTTGCCTCATGAAATTTCCCCTTCAGTCTCTTTCCGCCGATCCCTTGCCGTCAGATTTTTTCCATGTCGATCTAATAAATTTGTCGCCTATGTCCCAGGTATTCATGAACAACTTTTTTCTACCTTTTAAAATCTTTATTCTATCTAACGTTAGAAAGTATGATAAATTAATACCTCTGCTACTTCCTTCAACGGTTCTTCGAAGTATTTTTTAACAGTTGTGGTCATATAGAACTAATTTGCCATTGACTGTGTTAATGAAATAGCGCCGTAACTGGCAGTTGCCGCTGTATTGCACGGAAAAAATTCATAAATGCAATAGGGATGTATCTCACTTGGAGGTCAAACTAATATATTGTTTAGTTATGGCTATATTGCGTCCCATTCCGTCAGATGTATGCAATTTTATACCGCCATAACCCGAAACTAAAAAAATGCAGTTGTGGCCCTATTGAACTGGATATGGGATATTATTATCATTATGTAATTTTAGTTTGTAAGAATATATTGCACTCAGGTTTTCTATACATCCTGTTCTATACATCCTGTTCATAGTGCGCGGACAATCATTTATAGCCACTATCTCTAAAAACTTTCTTTTCAAGGTATGTTTCTCCACGTACAAGTTGTCACAATCGTCATAGGCTATTCTATGATCCTTATCAAGTACATGTTCAGCTAGAGAGCATGATTTGATGGACCTCCTACAATCACTTTTATGGGAAGTAATTCTGCCCTTAAGGGACCTAGAAGTTTGACCAATGTAAAAAGAATCACAGTCCGAGCATCGGAGTCTGTATACAACATTGATTTTTTGAGTTTTTTCTAATGGTGTTTTTATTCCTGTATACAGGGTCTTCAGCTGGCCAGTGAGGCGTTGTGCAAACTTGATGTTTTCACCTTTGACAATTTGAATTAATTTAGGAGTTAGGTCTTTTATGTAAAGGAGACAACTATAAGGGCCAATTCTACAATTCAAGTATAAACCTAGAATAAGCTATACCTTAGAAAACTGCTCATTATTGCGTTCTACAATACAACCGATAAATTTATCTGAAGTATAAACCTGGTGTACTTGGAGTTATCTCTTCCAGTTTGATGGTATATCCCAGGAATAAGTTTATACTGCCTTCCTATTGGTTGGTGCCATTCCGTTTCCTCACGTCATTTTCCGGAAAAAACTTAACCTAACTTGCTTGTTTTGTTTAAGAGACTGTATTTTTTTGTTAAATTCGGTACGTTCATCAAATATTTAAATGGATCCTTTCAATTTGCCTAATAATTTTGAATCTGATGATGAAATTGAGGAGTTCAGATTATACAGGAATCCTAAAGTGTTCAAAGTCAGGTAATAGTCAGGAATTTACAATTTTATACGTAGAGTTTCTAACTAAAAAATATGTTTTAGGCCCAATTATTTTGAAGAATATGATGAACTAGAATTTTTTAAGCGTTTTCGGTTGCAGAAACAGACCTGTGCTATGCTGTTAGGTTTAATTCGAGATGAAATAACATCAGCAACAGATCGCAATAATGCCATACACCCTGAGACAAAAATTTTTCTAACTTTGCGGTTTTATGCTACAGGTTGTATGCTACTTACCACAGGTGATTTCACAGGGGTAAGCAAAACATCTGCCTGTGTCATTGTGACTCAGGTCACAGAGGCTATTGCTTCTTTGCGACCAAGATTTGTTAAATTACCAGAGGGAGAAATGGAGTGTCAGAGGATAAAAGAAGAATTTTATTCAATTGCAAGGTTTCCTAAAGTTATTGGTACTATTGATTGTACCCATGTACGCATTATTTCACCGGGTGGTGATCAAGCGGAGAGGTATAGAAATAGAAAAGGGTACTTTTCATGGAATGTTCAAACAGTTTGTGATGCTCGTTTAAGGATAATGGACATTGTTGCTCGCTGGCCTGGCTCTTCCCATGATCAGACTATTTATAATAATAGCAGACTTAAAGGAACATTGGAAAGTGGAAGATTTGGAACATCGGTGCTTTTGGGTGACAGTGGTTATGGCAACACCAACTTTTTAATCACACCTTTGGAACATCCAAATACTCGAGCAGAAGCTCTATTTAATGAATCCCACATTCGTACACGTAACTGTGTGGAAAGGTCATATGGGGTATGGAAAAGAAGATTTCCCATTTTATCTTTAGGGATGCGTGTATCATTGGACCATTCAAAGGCAATAATAGTAGCAACTGCAGTTCTACATAATTTGGCAATTGAGGAACATGAAGAAGAACCACCTCATGAAATGGACGTTCAAGAAGTAGACATACCAGTACCTGTTGCAAATGTAGGTATGGTTCGAGAACAAAACCGAATGCGGGCATCCCTCATTCTCAACCATTTTTCAAATTTATGAAAACTATATATTCTTTTTGTAATATAAACACATTTTTATATGACACGCATGGCCTTTTCTTTAACCTTAAGCATCATTTCTAATTTTCTCTAAAACGGTATGGAAATTTGGAAAAGTATAAACAGGATTAACCATTTTAGAACAAGCAAAATTTTTATGAAGAATGCATTTTTCTTAAAATGCCAATAATAAAAAAGGCTTTCCTTTTGTAAAGACAATCCAGGGACATACTGTATTAATTTACTAATTTTCAGAATAGGCACTACAATGAATTTGAAGTTTCTTCTGGCTTTGTAACATATTTAAATTTTAAAAAGTATACTTTAATTTTGATACCTATTATAGAAACATTTGCGGAAGAATATTATTTTTTTTTATATTCTTCCGTGATAGGCTATATGAATAGAATATATAGGCTATATAGAATAAATAAATATACGAAACAATTCTTTTACTTAAATAGAAGTTAGTTTTTATTTTTTAATTCAGCTAACAATATATCTACTTCTAACTTGTGCTTTTCAGCAATATTTATTTTTTTTTTGTTCTGCTTCCTCCCTTAATATTTTGATCTGTGCCTCAATCAGGCCTTTTTTCTGCTCCCTCTCTTCTTGCAGAACCTGAGTTTGTAACTCTACAAGGGCAATTTTTTTCTTCAGTAATTCCTCTTGAAGTGTTTCAAAATGAATTGCCCTTTTATTTTTTAATTTGGAACCAATGGATTCCACTTTACTAACCCTCCTCCTTTTTTTTGACATCATTAGAGCCTAAAAAAATATTATTAGTACATAAAACTAATTTAATGACATACAAGTATATTATCGTACAGCATGGGGTTACTCCAATAGTTTTTGTCACCTGTTCATTCGTGTCTTCTAAATCAGTATTATTTGGTTCTGTAAGGAGAATAATATTCATTTAGTAAACCCTTAACAATCAGTTATGAAAATTCTTACCAGGAACTGTCAACTCGATACTTTTCGGCTGCCTCAACTGCTGTGGATTCCACGTCTGCCAACTGCTCAAGCTTATCTAAAATTATTTATGCACTTAAAAGAACATTTTAAATTCAATTACTTACAATTTCAGCTGCATCAGAACTGTCTTTATCTATAGTTATTTCCTCTGCTGCTATATCTTCATTACTTATTACTTCAGTAGGTACAATAGGGACCTGAGAGGAAATGCTGCTAGAGTCTTCAGTGAGTAGCTTATTACTACTGTTAGGTAAATCTAGAATTAAAAAATATAAATGTCATTATAACAAGTTTTTTAGTTATGGAAGTAACTAATATTACCAAAATCGCAATCAAACTTAGAACAAGTGCCAGACATCCCAATCCGAACTACAGCCAAAATACGTTTCATATAGCCTGACATTTTAAAGTCAGAACTTCCTGGTCCACCACGTGTCTTATATAAACTTTGCTTGTACTCTCCATATTCCTTTTTGGTGGTTTTTTTTAGAGAATCCCACTTGCTACGTAGCATTTTAGAAGTTCGTGCTGTTGCACACATCGAATTAAATTTAGTCTCAATCTTCTTCCATTCTAGCTCTTTTCTGCTGTTGTTAATCGTATCTGTCTTCTTGCATTCTATAAAATAAGTAATATGAAAATACAATTCCAAAGGATGTCCGGTATACCGGATGTCCTTTATAAAGAAATCAATATGCTGCACTTGCCTACAATAAGCTGAGATTCCTCCACTAAGCTCAGTAAAACTTCAGTCTCGTCGGCTGTAAAATTATTACACCGTTTTTTCTCCATACTTATATTAGCTTTCGCTCGCAAACCACACACTCAAGAAACAAAAATGAAATGAAACCGCTACTCTGACCGCTAAAGATAAAGAACTACCCATGAAAACCACTAAAACGTTACTGAAAACAGAGCTGAAAGTCAGGTTATAGTGTATAATACCACAGATAATATCCGCCTTTCAAAATGTCAAATGTCAAAATGCTAGTTCATTGGAACTACCAAGGAGATATACTTGGAATAACTATACCGATTATAAAAAACGATTGTAAAACCGACAACCAGTTATACTTGGAATAAATCGGGGTATAGGTTATCAGTAGAATAATTATACTGGCTTTTATACTTGCATTGTAGAATCGGGCATAAGTCATGTTAACCTCATCACGTGGGTCGGTGCTTAATTCTTCATCTTGAGTAGGTGTGAGAATTATAATTTAGTTTATGTTCTGACTCTTATTAAACATTTTATCCCGGCTATTGAGGGTTGATATTAATTTATTGATCTTTTGTTCTACTAGTGGGGTCGCGTGGAAGTAGTTTGTAATATTGATTATAGTTAAGTAAACTGTAGCTAAGGTTAAGGTAATCAACTCTGTCAATGACAACAGTGACGTTAGCCTTGTCGCTAAGTGTAACAATTAATTCAGGGTGTTCTATTTTAAAAAATTGTTTCTTTTATTTTTTGCTTAAGATGTTTGTTTTTCACACTATCACCATTAAGAAAGTTGACTATTACATTTGTCAACCTGCCACGTACAATATCTTTTTATTTTTATCAAAGCCAGAAACCGCCAACATTAGGTCGCTGATCAGTTGAGGAATTTTTATTGTTTTAACATTAGGAGAGATATTAAATTCTTCGCCACATTGTCAGGTACGACAATACTGGAAATATTCCTCAGCCACTCATCCTGCACCTTAATATTATTTTAAATTTTAGAGATAAGATTTTGATATGTATTAACATTAATGGATTTTATTCTATTAAACTCAAGGCGGAAAGTATGCTTCAATCTAGTGCTGAACTCATTAACAATTTCACGGGGTAATACCTCAGTAATGCTCTCAGAAAAGTCGGTTATGCGTTTCTGGTAGAGATTTGAATCGGAAATTGTAATCCTTATTTCTAGATTTAGAATTTTCTTTCTCAGCTCCCTACCAAATACTTCTCCAATCTCAATGAAGCTTCTTGTTCCAAGGCAGCCCTTGAGTGAAGACTAATAGCCGATTTTTTCTGTCTTTTTTTTCTCGATATGTTTTGCAAGTTGGACCTTTTCTGTTTCAAAGTATCTAGACTAATCAAAACCATGTTTTTATGTATTATGTTATAAGATACATTGGAGTAAAACTTATCTTCTGACTTGCTTGCATCCTTTAAATTTTCTACCTCTTGTAAATGTTGTTCATTGTTTGGTTCTTCTTCTATTGTCTCTAATTGAGAATTATTCTGGTTATCTACAAGTTCATAACAGTTGCGTATATATAACATAACTTTTATAAGAAAAAAAAAATGCTTCGGTATCTTTCTTCTTGGTTCTGGAAACATAAAAATATAAAAAGAAAACTGACAACAAACAGCATTTTTAAAACATAACAGTATTTTGTTTAGTTTCACATAATATGACTAAACAAAAATTTATATACCTTTGCTTCAAATTATCCCACAAGTTTTTAAGTTGTTTTTCTGACCTGGGCGTTACATCATTAGAATTGTATAATTATGTAATTTGTTTCCATGCAGCATTTTTTACCAAGTTGGTACCGTCAGTTTTTTATTTTCAATTGCAAGTTTATATCTTTCTCGGAGGTTCATAAGGGGAATTTTTTCTTATAGTATCTTATCTATGACTTTTTCCCTGTTAGAATAAATTCTTCTGTCACTCTCATCTAAAAAATAAATAAAAGAGAATTATAATAAATAATAATAATAATAATAATAATATTTTACAGTCACAGGTTACCTTTATAGAAGTTAGTTATATTAAAATTTAACCACTATACATTTAATAATAATAATAATACCTTAGGTCTCTTGTTGAGACCCGGATTCACCTATTCACAGGCCGACAAAAAAAAATTTTTTCGATGTAACACAGAGCTCAATAGGATATTGTGGTAGAATGAACCTATCTAATCACGAAAGTGGCAAAAAAAAAGTCGTAACACGTAAGGTTTTTTTGTTACATTAATAAAACATCATTCAATATTACAATATTCAATATATTAAGATAGCTATTCAAAACATGATTTAAGAACTTCTTAAGCCTATATACCGATTATATTTTTATAGTTTACACTCCTCAAACATTACTTATACCTAAAAAGTACAAAGAAACAATCGAAACGAGATCAAAACATAAACAAAAACTTTTACTTTTTCCTTTTATGATGAGGGACCGCGTCTTCTCTCTTCAAAAACCAACAGTAATCACCCATCATGGCTGGATCCCATCGTCCTTGATAACGAATTTCCATTGTCCTTATGTCTTGATGGAATCTCTCACCTTGCTCATCACTGACAGCACCCATATTTTCAGGGAAAAATGACAAATGAGAATGGAGAAAGTGAATTTTTAAAGACATTCGGGCACCAAGCGATTTATAAAGCATCTAAAAGCTCATTAACCAATTGTTCGTAGTTCGCATCTTTATTGTTTCCCAAAATCCCCTCACTACACTAACAAATGGGGTCCATGCTCTGAGTTCCTGCCTGGTAAGCGTGTCTGTGAAATTTATGTCGTCCAACAATTTCCTGATTTGTGGTCCAATAAAAATACCCTCTTTCAATTTGGCATCACTCAACTGGGGAAAGACTCTGCCTAAGGGTATTTAAATCCATCACCTTCTTTATTCATAGCTTTCACGAAGTTTTCATGAGGCCAAGTTTGATATAAGAGGAGGCAGGAGGACGTCTTTGGGGTCTACAAGAGGGATATACTTGACATTTTGGGAACCCGGTTGAAATTCACTTCTTTCTGGCCAAATTTTCTGTACATAATGATGATTTACTGCACGACTGTCCCACAAACAAAGAAAACAACAATATTTTTTGTAAATCCTCCCTGAAGTCCCACTAAAATTCCTATAACTTTCAAGTCCCCACATATCTGCCATTTATACCTGTTGTAGTTGATTCTATCTAAAAGCATGCGCATATTTTCATAAGTTTCCTTCATTGTCACTGAATGGGCAACTGGTATAGAGGGTTTTAAATTTCCGTTATGCAATAACACAGCTTTTAGGCTATATTTCGACGAATCTATGAATAAGCGCCACTCACAGGGAGAATGTTCTATAGAAAGTTCCTGCATTAAGCCATCGATATCAGTACATGCACACAACGAATCCTCCATACTGTAGAATGCAGAGAACGGAGCATTTCTTTTTCTAAAAGTGGTGATTTTTTGTTTCATTGGCTAACAGATTCCATTCCTTAAGCCGGGATCCAAGAAGTTCTGACTGCTGCTTTGATAACCCCCAAGTCACGCACTAAGTCATTCAACTCGCTTTGAACAATCAAATGTGGCTTGTCGGAACCGCCCTCTGGGTAAAGGTAGGATCAGTACACTGGTCTCCAGAGCTGTTTGATTCAATATCTTCCTTATCTTCCAAAACAATACCTTGCCAGTCTAAGGGCGCGATCGGCACTGGGAGATCTGCACCATGAAGAACAGGTCGTATGGCAGACGGCAAATTGGGATACTCGATCTTGTGCTTTTGTTTTTTGGAAAAACCTTCAGTTTTCGTCAGGCAAAAATAGCAATCGTCAAAATGGTTAGTTGGTTCTCGCCATACCATTGGAACCGCAAATGGCATTTTTTTCCTCTTCCCTTTCATCCACTGCACAAGCGACACGCTACAAGTAACGCAGCACACATGAGGAGCCCACTGCTTGTCTTGATCTCCAACCAAAACTCCAAAATACTTGAAGTAGGCTTTCTTCACATTTTCAGAAAATGGTCTGGCTTGTGATTGCACCATAAATTCTCCACAAATGTAACAAAATCGATCAGGAGACACTTTACAACTGCGGCGCGTTTGACTTGACATTTTCGTACTATTTATCTACACGCATAGAACAACTCACGTCGAAAATCAACTGAAAACTGAACTCTCTTATGTTTTTCACAATATATTATAGTGCACAAAATGCGTCCCTTTCAATCATCCCATCATAAAATTTACCTGTATGTAAACGAATCTACCTAGACTTAATACCTGACATCTATAAAATTGACTACCTGCAAAAAAGAGGCGTAATTAGGCAACTGAAAAGTGGTACGTGTAGGAGCTTCAGGAGTATTTTTTCTGTTATTAGAAGCATATTTTTATGAAGAAATTCTGCAACTGACTCGTGTTACAAAAATCATGTCGGCCTGTGAGGCCGACAAAAAAAAATTTTTTCGATGTAACACAAAGCTCAATAGGATATTGTGGTAGAATGAACCTATCTAATCACGAAAGTGGCAAAAAAAAAGTCGTAACACGTAAGGTTTTTTTGTTACATTAATAAAACATCATTCAATATTACAATATTCAATATATTAAGATAGCTATTCAAAACATGATTTAAGAACTTCTTAAGCCTATATACCGATTATATTTTATAGTTTACACTCCTCAAACATTACTTATACCTAAAAAGTACAAAAACAATCGAAACGAGATCAAAACATAAACAAAAACTTTTACTTTTTCCTTTTATGAGGGACCGCGTCTTCTCTCTTCAAAAACCAACAGTAATCACCCATCATGGCTGGATCCCATCGTCCTTGATAACGAATTTCCATTGTCCTTATGTCTTGATGGAATCTCTCACCTTGCTCATCACTGACAGCACCCATATTTTCAGGGAAAAATGACAAATGAGAATGGAGAAAGTGAATTTTTAAAGACATTCGGGCACCAAGCGATTTATAAGCATCTAAAAGCTCATTAACCAATTGTTCGTAGTTCGCATCCTTATTGTTTCCCAAAAATCCCCTCACTACACTAACAAATGAGGTCCATGCTCTGAGTTCCTGCCTGGTAAGCGTGTCTGTGAAATTTGTGTCGTCCAACAATTTCCTGATTTGTGGTCCAATAAAAATACCCTCTTTCAATTTGGCATCACTCAACTGGGGAAAGACTTGCCTTAGGTATTTAAATCCATCACCTTCTTTATTCATAGCTTTCACGAAGTTTTTCATGAGGCCAAGTTTGATATGAAGAGGAGGCAGGAGGACGTCTTTGGGGTCTACAAGAGGGATATACTTGACATTTTGGGAACCCGGTTGAAATTCACTTCTTTCTGGCCAAATTTTCTGTACATAATGATGATTTACTGCACGACTGTCCCACAAACAAAGAAAACAGCAATATTTTGTAAATCCTCCCTGA